CGCCGTCCAATAGGAGGTGGCCGTCTACAGGGTCGCACAGCGGCGGCATGTAGCCGCTGAGTGACATCGAGGCGCGAATGTATCGCCACAGAGAACCTGCGACGCGCCAGTTAATTTTACAATATGATATAACCTAATTATCTATTTAAAATAAGCCATAATTACATTATATAATACTTTAAGTTATTTTTTTTTAGTTTTTATTGAACTATCGATTTGGAAAAAAGAAATTTCTTGAATTAGTTATTTAAATTTAGCAAATTAAACACTATAAATTTCTTTAGCTTGTATTCTTATTCCAATGTCAACTAAACTGACGTAAAATCAACAGATTATATAGATATCATGCAGAGCAAATAATTCGTGGTCGTTCGTGTAAAGTGAAATTGCATCGAATTGGACAGGGTACGAAGATCTAGTGTAGAGAATTAGACAACACAATCCATGGAAAGGAAACGATGGATGGAGAATAAATCCATAGATTATAAATGACATTAATAATATCCCATTCCGCTAAAAGAAAGCTAAGAGGTTAACAAGTCCGTCGTGACAGGTTTCTTGACACATGCTTCACATGCATGAATGCATTAAAACTAAATGATTATTGACGTTAAAAGTAGTCCCAAAGTAAATACACCATGTGTTTGGCTTTCAAATTGATTTGCGTTGATTAGATTTGGCCCACATAATATTCCCTTCCCTTCTCAGCGTTGACAAGTCCAATTTTTAAAACTTACAGCCGAATTCTGAAACGAATTTCAAACACTCCTTGTAAGTGTCGTTTAAAATCTGACGTCAAAATTTCAATGTAATTTAGAGTTTGAATACGGTCTTATCATTTAAGATGCTGTTCCAATCGTTTTAATATTAGGCCATTAATCTTGTATTTTTCAAATATACACGTTGACAAATAAGGAATTTACGTTAAATCTGAAACGTGTACTATCTACCTCATTTCGTAAATATTTTTTTATAATGAACAAAATAAAATCGCTTTCTAAGTTGAAGAGCTAAACTCACAATTTGACTAAGACAAAAAAAACACAAATAAAAAATCACCTTTATCGACATATTACTTTTTATATAAATTACCAAACGAGTCTGTAATAAATAACCAAAGTATACAACTATATTATATTTTTTACCTTTAAATACTGCCTTTTCAGATATGATACACTAATTTATATACAATGAAAATTATTTTTTAGGTCTACCATACAATTTCTTCAAACTATTAATAACTTTAAATAATAAACCTTTATACAATAACGATAAAATCTAATGAATATAAAAAACTACAGTGATGGGGATGGGAACTAAAGAGAAATAAAAAATTAACCACACTCATGCAAATACATGAAGTTAAATGGATTGAGTAAAATGACAATTTACAATAATTCCAACCCGACATTGTACACGCAATTAGATAAATTATAAAAAAAACTATAACAATATCCCAAAATAAAGCGTTATCCGGTAAACCAATCACAAGCGTTCTGTTTTTCCTTTTAAGTAATGGCAACACCCAAAAGCAAATGTCGGATTCGTAGATTTAAAAAAAAATCATAACAAAAATAGACATGTGAGACAAAACAATACAATACATCGGACACATAAATGCAAGTGAGTGTGGTTGTGGAGAGGAATCAACAGAAAATATCACTGTAGCGGAATAAAATAAAAAAACGCACTGATAGCTTCAAAACAACATAAAAGGGCAAATATACCTATAGCTTATATCTGCTTGCCCCTTTTGTGATAAACGTCGTGAGTCACCATAGATATTGATAACCGTATGATGGCGCAGACTATTCCGCAATTTAGCACACATTTTGTCTAAGAGTTAGTGAAATAGCACTTTAACAATCTTTTCATCAAGTTAAGGTTATATTCTAGCCACGATAACCTATAAAAAATAAACCATTATTGATACTACAGGTTTTAAAAAACATTTTGTCAAGTTACAATCAACCTTATTAGTCAAACTGTGTTAAAAAAATTAATCATTTGACAAAAGTCTTTAGTATTGCCAGTTGTAAATATTATTTTATAACCTATAAACAGTTATCGTGGAGAGAATATAAAAAGTATGAGATAATGCTTTCATAATATATCTATATTATATACCTTCAATAACGTATCGAATGAAGAAAAAACCTCCATTCTTTTTCATTTACTTTATCGGCATATGGAAATTACAACAAAGCAGACATAAATATATAAATATCTACATAAATACACATGCAATATTGTATGAGACATTTGGCCTCGAGTTCATATTTACTAAAACCTCTTAAACTTTCTTAAATATGTTAGTAAGTGCAAAAAAGCGAAAAATTATCAATAAACACGGATTTCCTGTCCATGAATGTGTTGTGTTAATATAAAACTATATGTATCTTGAAATATATGAAAATATATCAAGTAATTATCACAATATAATAATCTAAATATATTTAATTATAGTTCTAATATAATTGTATTAAAAAAATAAGTTTAATTCGTAAAATCACTCACTAAATCATTCAGTCATTCTACAAATTTAAAAATATTCATTCACTGCTTCGTCAGACGCTTTTGGTATCCACTACTATTGATTTTTTGTACTAAAAATAATTTTAAACGTCGCTAAATGAATATTAAATAATTCTAAGGGCTTGTCCTAGAAATTGTAAATTGTCTGATAACAATCCAACATGTAAAATATCGGATTTTGTTATCTTATCTGACAGTGGCGTCATTTTTAAGCTATCTGAGCCTCTATCAGTCAGTGGTGGGACAAGCCCTTAGTTGCATTTTCCACGCAGCAATAAAAGCATCAGTTTTTGTCTTAAACCTCTTTCACACTGTTTTTAAATATGCTTTAAAATTGAAACTGTTTTGTAAATATAAAAAATAAAATAACTTTTATATCTGGATAAGGCAGAGATCAGCTATATAACAAGGTGTTTACGTTTTTATATAGCTGATTTTTTTAGCTTTGGCTACCAAAGCCGTCTGCGTAGAATTAAAAAAATAGCCAATGTGTTCTTCCAGATTATTTAGATCTATGTCAAATTTCATTTACACTTCATCATTATTGGCAAAATAACATCCATCCATCCTAACTTTACCATTTATAACATTAGTAAGATTAGCTTCCTAACCGACTCTGTCCACGATAAATTAAAAAAAGTAGTCAATGTGTTCTTCCAGACTATCTACATCTATGTCAAATTTCATCGAGATTTCATCCATTAAGGCCAACTAACATCCATACATCCATCCATACATTTATAATATTAATAACATTAGTATATACTAGCTTTCGTTTGCGACTCTGTCCGCGTGGGATTAAAAAAAAACAAAAGTGAGCCTATGTGTTCTTCCAGACTATCCTGTACATCTATACCAAATTTCATCGAAATCCATTCAGTCATTTAGACTACAAACTCTAACAAACATCCATCCATCTAAACTTTCGCATTTATAATATTAGTATGAAGTATGATATATATATATTTGAATCGTGTTCCTCACCATGTCTGTGTATCCTCATGCAGCTGGAGCTGATGTCGGTGGTGACGGTGAAGTAGGGCAGCCAGAGGTCCTCGATGTGCACGTCGCCGAACGTGCCGCGGATGGTGGCGTTGAACTGACGCCCCGAGAACATTGACGTCGCGGGGTACGTCAGGTCTAGCAGCTGTTTGCCCCATTGCGTCATTTTCTGGAAAAAAGGTAATTTTAAACAATTTATTTAAATGATAATATCGTGATAACTTAACACTCAGAGCCACACTTCTCGCCAGGATCACGCGCCATACCAATCTGTCTTTTTCTTTATAACATAAGGTGGTAACTTTGACGAAAGGTAGCTAATAGATATAGGCATGTTATGGGGTAGTTTTTTTAATAGATGTTTGTTACCTGGGACCAGTCGCGGGCCTTCTGTGTTACGGTGGTGATATTCCGCTCCATACACCAGAGCGCGCCCATGAAGGCGCCGATACTCACTCCGCCCACCATATCGATGGGAATACCCGCCTCCTGTAAAAATATTCCTTTACCCATTCCACTAATATAATAAATGCGAAAGTTTAGATGGTTTTGGTAGAGTTTGTAGCCTAAATTGCTGTACGGATCAATGTAATATGGCACAGTAGAACATAGTCTGGAACACTTAGGATACTATTTTATCCGCGCATAGTAGGGGGCGATAGCTAGTTTATACAAATTTAAAAGATAATTTGTATGATTCGTTTGATTTTTAGGCTGACAGTTTAAAGCCATCAACAGGCAATGCGATTTCACTTTCATACGTAGCCTATTGAACATTTATTTTTAAGTTATTCTTTCATGTTTAACCTTCGCCATTTTGTATTTTTAATAGTATACCGTATTGTTTGCGTCGTTTTTACTCCGTCCTAATAGATGGCGCTGTGGCGAGACCGTGTTTCACTGAACCGCGATGTTATGAATGTTTCGCCACAGACCTAGTCGCCCGCTAGTTTACTTGCGTTGTAATTGTGGTTGTCATTGCGTTCTGTACAAGTCGTTTGTTTCTGGAGTTTGGTCGTTGGTCATGGTCAAGTCCTGGGGTTCAAATTCGGAACCCAAGTTACGTAGGAAACAAAACACGTATTATAAACCATCTTTAGTATGAGACGGAATATAAAATAAATGTTGACCATAGATATTGACAATTGAAGGTAAAGAG